GCTCAGTGTTATAGGTCTTTTAGGGGGTTCCTCACCTTCTCTCTCCCTGCTTCTTGTGTCTTCTCTTGCCGTTTCGCCTTTCTTTTTTTCTGAAACCATTGTGGGGTTGGTTGCATAGATAAGCAAATTCTTTGTCAATTTCAAGGCATGGCCCTCCCAGCGGGGCCATAAACTGACCAATCCCCTCAGTGGACCATAGTCACTTCATTTGCATACTCTGTAGTCATTTCATTTGCATAGTATATTGACCAATCACTGAAAGATGTGTTTTAATCACAAGGCAGGCTGCAGTCCAGGGCCAGACAAAAAGTATCAAACCATCAGGTTGTTCACATCTTACCCAGGAAATGTCAGTCAACCTGGACAAATGTAACAAACCCTCTGGGGTAGAAAACTAGGTCAAAGGTAACTCCTCAAGGTATAGGGGAAAAATCTCCCAAGCTGTTTTTCCAAAGAACCAAGGCAAAAGGCCAAGTAAAGGAACTAATTTCACCAAACTTGTAGATTTTGAGTCATAGTTGGAGGGGCTTTTCTACTCCTGGATTATTTTTAAAAATCACCAGTGTTTTCTTCTAGTGTTTGTATGGTTTATTTATTTATTGTTATTTTATATTATGAAAAATTTCAAACATATAAAAGTAGACAGCATAATACAGTGATTTCTTTTGTACTTGTTATTCAGCTTCAATAATTGTCAATTGATAGATATCAAACCTGATATTCATTCTTGTTCTTGGCTTTGTCTTGTAGCCCCTAAGATTTCTGCTGGTAAAAGCTGTATAAAATGGGAGGAACAAACTTCAGAGCAAATATTCAGACTTTATCGTGCCATTGGAAATATAGTAAGTTGGAAGTCAGATTGCAGTTTTACCGAATTGTGGAGGGGTGTGTGTGTGATTCACTTTCTAAATATTTGTATTTAGGAATAAATCTCATAAACTAATTTAGCTACCATTGAGTCAGCCCCCAACTCATGGCAGTTCATGCACAAGGGGATCAGGCCATTGTGATCCATGGGGTCTTATTGGCTGATTTTTGGAAGTAGATTACCAGGCCTTTCTTCCTAGTCCATCTTAGTCTGGGAGCTCCACTGAAGCCTGTTCAGCATCATAGCATCGTGCTGTGGTGGCTGCATATGAGGTGCATTGGCCAAGAATTGAACTTGGGTGTCTCGCATGGAAGGCAAGAATTCTACCACTGAACTACCGCCGTCCCCACACTAAACTTAGGAGACTTGAAATGCGTTTTTAAAATAGTCTTTAAACCTTAAGTTTTTATAAGGGCCTTGGAAATTGTAAAACACTTTCAAATATATATTTTGCTGTTTCAAATAAGTAAGTTTTATTATCCCCATTTTGTAGATGAGGAAAATTGAAATGAGGTGACAAACTCAGGGCTACCCAGTCACTGCATAATGAACTTAAATTTTCTAACTCCTAATCCAATGCTGAGGAGCCCTGGTGGCACAGCAGTTAAAGTGCTCAGCTGCTAACCTAAAAGTCTGTGGTTCGAACCCGCCAGCCACTCCACGGGAGAAAGATGTGGCAGTCCGCTCCCGTAAAGATTTACAGCTGTGGAAACCCTATGGGGCAATTCTACTCTTTCCCGTAAAGTTGCTATGAGGTGCAGTTGACTTGACAGCAGTGGGTTTGGTTTGGTTTGGGTTAATCCAGTACATCTTCTAGTATGCCTTTTTGAATTCCACAGATGCCTAACCGCTTGCTAAAATATCTGAGTAAACGCTCAGTTCTTTGACAAATCTGTGAGGTTTTTTCCTGCATTTTGCTAGCCTCTTGTGTTGTTTGAACCTGGGGACCTACCAAGTGTGGGGCTTTAAATGGCCCTCCTGTGTCTCTACTGTGGGTGAGGCACGGCCGCTGAACATCTACAGCAGGTCAGCTCCTTAGTGAGGATCACAACCTCATGTCGTAGGTGTTATTATCCCATTTTAAAGCTGAGGAAATTGAGGCTTCATGTAGACATTCAATGAATGATTATTGAGTGTTGTTCAAGGTCACAGATGCTGATCCCGGTTCTGTCAGCTGATCCCGGTTCTGTCACTAACTAGCTGCTTCTGACATTGGGAAAATAGCTGCAGCCCCCTGGGCCTCAGTTTCCTTGTCTGTGAAATAGAGGATTGAATTATAGTCTGAAAATAAACTTACTCAATTCAGAAATTTGAGAGAACTTATTTCTGGTGTGCGTTAATTTTTATAAACATTTAAGTCAAGTTTTAGGGTCTCAGTTATGTTGGAAATTTGTTATGTGATAAAGGTGGCATTTTACATCAGGATGGGGAGAGGAAGATGGGTTATCCAGTAAATAGCATTGGGACAACTGGCTAGCCATTGGGAAGGGAGAACCTTCAAACCCTACCTTTTAAAATCAAAATGAAATCTAGGTAAATCAAGGATTTAAATGTGAAAAATGAAACCATAAAGGGCTGGAACAAAACACAGCTGAATGATTTTACGATACTTAAGAATCATAAAGAATGGGGTAGACCTTCTCAGGCATGATGTGAACCACTGACATCACGGAAGAAAAGACTGACAGCTGGAACTCCATAAATGTGAAAAACTCATGCATGGAAAAAAATGACCAGACTCAAGATTAAAGGCCAACAAAGTAGGCAAAATATAATACATATGAGAATTAGAGGGCTAATTTCCTAAATATATAAAAGGCTTTTGCAAACTAATAAGAGATGAACAACCTAGTTTAAAAAAAAAAAAAAGGCAAAGAAATCGGCAGTTTACAGAGAAATGAATAACAATTACAGTAAATACGTGGAAGCTTTTCAGCCTCACTAATACTGAACAGCAATAGATTGTTTTCACTTATCAAGGCAGGTTAACAATAAAATGTTGATGTTCTTTGAC